AAGGATCACAAGAATCCTGGGATGTAGTTAGTATTGCTTACCTGCGTTTTACAGAAAACAAAACAGCTCAGAGAAGAGAAGTAACTCCATACTTAAGGTCTGAGCTGGCCTGAAGAGCCATCATTCTCACGCGAGTTTGTGTTCATTCAAGCTACAGCCCAGCCGGTCAAGTGTGGTCTGGGGACAGCAGTGTGGGCATGCTCTGGAAGCTTCTTCCAAGGGCAGCAGCCCAGCCCCACCCTGGACCTACTGAATGAGAGGCTGCCTTTTAGAGATCTCCAGGTGATTCGTCTGTTTGCACATTAAAGTTTGAGAGCCACTGGGTGCCACTGCTTCCCCTTGGTTTTTTTTTTTTTTAACCTTCAGATCAAAATGAAGAATTTAAAGTTCTGGGCAGTGGCACTAACTTGGGTTGCACATTAAAATCACATGCTGAACTTTCACATTCCCAATGCCTCAGCCACACCCCAAGTCAGGGTCTCTGAGACGGGACCCCGGCATCTGCATGTTTAAAGGTCCCCAGGGGACCTCAACATGCAGCCACCTGTGGGCACCTCTGGTGGAGTTAGAACCACTGGTTCCCAGGTGAGGGAAGTCTGCTTGGAGGCACCCACTTTTCAGTGGAAATTTGAGGTCTTGGATCATAATGGGATGTTTGAAGAGGGGACTCAGACCCACCTAAGAATTTCCACACTAGGTCAACATCCTGTCTTCCTGAAATTCCAGCGGTGTTTCCCAGCCTTCTCCAGGGAGCACAGAACCTAGGTTCTCCTGGAACCTTCTGAGACCTCTCACTGTTTCTCTTCCCTAGGTCATCAGGGTCCTCTCCCAAAAGCCTGCAGAATATATTCTTCACTTCACTTTATCGAAATGGAAACTGAGGCCCACAGAGTCACACTGTGTTATCAGGGTCACACAGCAAATTAGCATGAGAACAAGCAACAGCAAGACAGGTTACTCAGTTCGCTCCCATGCAGCCTCTCCCACATGCTCCTCTGGGGCAATGCTTCCATTTGGCGACAAGTCCCAAGGGGTCTAACCTGGGATTCAGCAGTATTTGGGGTCGCCTTTTATCGTGGAGCCCGTGGGATCTATTGTGAGCTCTGGATCAGTCTACTCAAGATGTGAAGCTTGGGGCCGGCCCCATGGCTGAGTGGTTAAGTTTGCACACCCCTTTTGGCGGCCCAGGGTTTCGCGGGTTGGATCCTGGGGGCGGACATTACACCGCTCATCACGTCACACTGAGGTGGGGTCCCACATGCCACAACCAGAGGTACCCACAACTAGATATTCAACCATGTACTGGAGGGCTTTAGGGAGAATAAGTTAAAAAAAAAAAGAAGACGAAGATTGGAACAGATGTTAGCTCATATGCCAATATTTAAAAAAAAAAAAAAATGAGTCGTTGAAAAAAAAAAGATCTGAAGCTGTGTTCTGCCATTGTCAGCTTTGGGATCTTGGGCAAGTTAATTAACCTCTCTCTCCTTCAGTCTCTGAAACTGCAAAATGAGCATTGAAAATACCTGCCTCATAGGGTTGTTGTGAGAATTAAACAGGATAATGTGTCAATTGTTTTCAATAAGAATATTTTGGCAGCCATGAGGGTGGTGCCGTCTCTTTGCTGATTCCCACCGGGGGGAGGACAGCTATATAGATATTGGGCAGACAGCACATGGAGAGAAGTATTCTGTGTTCATCCTTTGAAAAACCTTTATTGAGCAGCTTATTATGTAGTGCATCTATTTAGCTGTATGTCCTATCTATAGATCCACCTTGAATGGGAAGGAGAAATACGTTTTAGGGATTGCTTCCTGAAAAGGGGCCCTGGGTCTTGGTTCTGTGGCAACTGCCTGTATAAGGAGCTTGAGGGAGCCTCTGGCATTGAATTCAGCCTGTCCTGGCGCTCTGCAGAATGGTGGCAACGTTCGCCCCCTAGAGGCCAACAACAGCTCCAGCAGTGAGAGCACAACTTGGAAGGCAACACATCACAGTATTGACAGCTTTCCACCTAGTCGACAGAGGCTGGAGGTGTGGGAGGCTGGAAGTTGGCTGAGTGCTGGGAAGGCCAACTTGCTAACGCAATGCATCATGTTGAGACCCTGGATTTGTCCCTCTTAAGAAATACCAAAACTTGGAATTTGTAAAAATGTTGCCCTTACAAATCTTACATGTGTATTTATATGTGTAATTCTGTATACTCACCAATATCCTGTTTGCCTTATCCCCACACTCCCCATGTATTTCCAGCTCCTGAGGACTTGTGTGTATCTCTGTATTCAGCGGAGCAGTGCTCTCACTGCCACTGCCTGGGTTCTTTTCCCTATCAGGGAACCACAGGACTCATCTGTTGTCATACCATGGCGGCTGTGTTGCTGTGATGTGAAAACTATGCCACCAGTATTTCAAATACCAGCAGGGTTCCCCACGGTGGACAGCTTTCAGCAGAGCTTCCGGACTAACACATACTAGGAAGAAGGACCTGGCCGCCCACTTATGAAAAAGCTGGCCATGGAAACCTTGTGAATAGGAGCGGAACACTGTCTGATAGAGCGTCAGAGGTGAGAGGATGGGGCAAAAATCCCAGGCAGGGTTCCGCTCTGCTGTCCACAGGGTCGCTAGGAATCAGAAGCCACTCCATAGCACTAACAACCACCACCTAGTTCCCTACCCTCTTGGTGCTTGGAAGCATCCCTGTTGTCTTAATAAGGACCATCACAGTTGCCGGGGTAACAAGCAGGAGTCCAGCCTCAGTCAAAGGCTGCCTGTGCCCATTGAATCTCTCATGCACAATCGTTTGTGTGGTTCTGGAGACGACTAGAATCCGAAGGCAGCTCTGTGTCTTCGCAGTCGGTATTTCCTGCTGGGACAGATTGCTGTGCGACAGCTTACCTTTCTGGTCTTCTCCGCCTTATTCTCATTCCTTAACAAGCTTCTTCATCCCCGGTGCTCCGGAGAGCTCTTTTATCTCCCCAACAGAGGAGCACATTTCTGGCTTTCTGGCTGCAGAGTCCGCACTGACACTCCTTGCTTTATAGCAGGGGCACTCAGACCAGCAATACTTGAGATGATTTCAGATGCTATGAGAGCCACCCATGGATCCCTGCCCAGCTGAGGCCAACACACTCACTGTGCAGTCCCAGGAGGACAGCCTGGCCCTTCTGGGGAGGGGGCACACACCCAGCACTGCCGTTCCCTCCAAGTCACTTCCAGGTCACCCCGCTGTGATCCCTCCTCAACAGCCCCCACCCCCCCAAATTTCAGCTTTCCCCTCTGCATCCCCCCAGCTTTCCTCCCCCTGACTCTTTGGGGCCCACTCGCCTTGTGCCCAGTTCCTCAGCACCCCCTTCCCACGTGTCCTCTCCCACATGCCCTCCTCAGGCCCCCTGCTTAGCCTCCACACTCTGTCCTGCCCGTTCAACCTCACCCAAACCCCGACACTGACGGCACCTCAGGGTCAGCACCCGCTCCCTCTCCCTCGGCTTCCCGTTGCACAGCCCTAGTTCTCTCTGCTTCTCTTCCAAGGCACTTACCACAGTCGTCATTCATTAGTCAGTATGGTTAGTTCTCTGGTGTCTGTTTCCTCCACTAGACTATAGGCTCCCGGCAGCCAGGGATGGGTCCTCCTTGTCCACTCCTCCATCCTCAGTGCCTAGCGGTGTGTCTGACACAGGTGGCTGCTCAGTACATTTGTGTTGAATGGATGAATCAATAAAGAAGGGACAGTAGAGCAGGTGCCAGAGATGCCGCAGGGGAGGGAAGCTGGTTCTGAAAGGAGAGATGCAAATAGGAACAGAGCGTGTCTCAACTTAGAAACCAAAGGGCTCACAGGCACCTAGTGTGGAAAGCATTAGGATCCTGTCCTCGACTTGTGGACACACCCAGCCTTGCAGACACACCCACAGATTTGAATGCACACACACACACATATACACACACACGGCAGTAAGAGCACATGCCCACAGATTTGCACGCACACATACACACATATACACATGCACGGCAGTAAGAGCAGTACCTCCCAATATGAAGCATGAAGATAGGTTGGTAACATTGAATCTCTACTCAGGATACATCCTGAAGTTGGAGCAGGAACAGGGACTAATATTTTGGCCAGAATTTGATCTTGAGGCAAATGGCTCAATCAACTCAGTCGATCTGCAACTCAGCTCAACTGAAAGCAGGATCAATAGTGAGAGAAATCATGACATGATCAGTTTCGTTTCAATGCCTCTAGCTCCCATCCAAGTCCTCTCCCATCCCCCTCCTCCAATCTCGAGCATTTTTATGCCTTCTCTGAACTCCTTGGAATCAAAAGAAGACCTTCTGAGAAGGAGCAGGCAAAAATTCTGTCTATAGTGTAAATGGCTGATAGGACAAAGTATTGCTCTTTCCAGGAACACTTGCACTTTGTAATAAACACCTTAAGCCACAGCAACAATGTTTGGGGTCCTTGTGCCCTCGTGATTGTATTCTACAGACAGCCACCTGTCTCACAAAGGTTGTCCCAACCTTCTATTCACTGGAAGGCACTTGACATGGCTGTTTTAGCACAAGACTCTTTTGCCAAAGGGACCTTTTCATGTATCATTTTGAAAAACCATTAGGCTTCCAACCATTAAAAAATTATCAAGTGATGTACCTAACATACATCTTCATTCCATCCCGTCCTCATCTCCACTCCTTCCTTCTCACCACTGATGACACTGTATCAGAGCTGCCAGATCACAACTGTCCTTGAGTCAAACATTCTGCTTCATGTCGAGTGGGTCTCCTTCTTGCAAGTAGGACGCCCTCCCGGCTCGCTAAATTGTGACAACTCATGAGAACTTTTTTTTTTTGTGAGGACGATTGGCCCTGAGCTATCATCCGTTGCCAATTTTCCTCTTTTTGCTTGAGGAAGATTGTTACTGAGCTAACATCTGTGCCACTCTTCCTCTATTTTATGTGTGATGCCACCTCAGTGTGGCTTGATGAGTGGTGCTAGGTCCGCTCCCTGGATCTGAAGCTGTGAACCTGGGGCCGCCGAAGTGGAGCGCACAAACTTAACCACTGCTCCGCCAGCCAGCCCCTCATCAGAACTTCTGACTCCAGTTCAATACCACACGCCCTGGACCACACTCTCTGCCAGCAGCTGTGTTTCTTGAGTACTGGGTGCTTGCTGTGTTGACCGAGGACAGGTTTTTACCTTGGGGGTCTACAAATGGGTTTCAGGAGTCTACGAGCCCCCGAAATGATATAACCCAAATTTGATGAGTACATATATACTTTGTAAAGGGCAGGGGGAGTCTAGAGTTTTCATCAGATCTTCAGAGCAGTGTGATGACCACCAAATGTAGGAAATGACTGGTTTACATGAGTAATCCAGATATTTCAGGTAAAAACCATCTATTTGGGAGCATGCCGCTTAGCATCTGCCCTCACCAGAGATGCTGTTAGGGGCAGAGCTGACTGTTCAGTGATGTTTGTTTTGTTACTATGGGCAACCGGTTTATGTCGCCCCAAATCGAAAGTGGGTTTCCTGACACAAATGACGCACTTTGGAGGCAAGCTTTGAGGACTAAACAGAGAAGTTACTGAATTACTTTGGGGCCGAGTGAAGCACAGGTTTGGTGAGAATGTCCTGCCTTCTAGAAGGTGACCCTTTATCCTCTCTCCATGTGCAACCAGATTCCAAGAACCAGGTCTAAAAGGAGAATGCGGCTTCTGCCTTCCACGTTTCAGGCGACCCTGGGCTTGGGAGAAGACCCAGAAAGAGCAGGGAGGCACAGGAAGCGGGACTCCCCTCTGTTTCTCTGCCCAGCTGTTCTGTCCTGTTCCAGCTGAGACTGAAGTCCGTAGGCAGCCACATGTTTCAGATTGAGCTAACTCCTCGCTGCCCTTAAAGGTCAGGAGAGCCACCGTGCTGACACAGGCCTTTCTCCCCCTGGCAGTCTGCCCCACGGCGACTCTTGAGTCATCACATCTGGATGACTAGGCTGATAAAAACGAGGTTTCGTGGGGTGTGTCGAATGGGGGGAAGTGGGGTGGCAGGGCAGAGTGATGAAGCAGAACCCTGCCCTTGGAGTCTGAGGCTCCGGGTTCGAGTCCCTGCTGAGAACTCGGGCAGGCCACGATGAGCTCTTTGGGTCTCGGATGAAATTAGATAATGCAAGACAAGCTGCTTAACACGGCAAAGGGCGCCAGTCTGTGCTCCAGGGAAGGGATCGTGCAGTACCCGCACTGAGGCAGAGGCTGGCCCAGCCCGGGACGTGCTCATCCCTGACCCTCACAGTGGAGTGTCTTCACAGGTTGTCTGTGGAGACCGGGGGGTCCCCAGGCCTGTGGAGATTTGCGTTCCTGGTCATTTACTCAACAACTGTTTCTTCAGAGCCTCGCGCTGGGAGACAGTGAGGAGGCCTGAGGAGGCACCTGCTCACTCTAGAGCTCAGCTCTCTGCACCCAGGCAGCCTCCGCCAAAACGCCCAGTGGTTGGCTGCCAGAGGGGGCGCTCAGCCCTGCGGGCCTCTCAAGCCAGGGGCGAGGTTGGAGCCTGGGGAGGGAAGGAAGGAGGGGAAGGTTTGGGTCGCAGTTCTCTGTCTTGTCCCTAGGTGGCAGCACCAACTCAAGACTGCTGCCCCGCCGTCCTGGCTGTTAGCTGGGACTCAGATTCCCCCAGGGCGCTCAACCGTCATCTATAGCTCCAGCTTTGGAGGCAACAAAGGTGAGTTTGAGCCCCATCTCTGCACTCCACTGTGTGACCTTGGGCAAACCATGTAACCTCTGAGTCTGTTCCTTTATCTGCAAAATGGGGAAAGGAATGGTTCCTAAAATAATCCAGTGAACAATGAGGCAAATGTTTGATAAGTGGCAGCCGCTCTCCCCTCTGCCCCAGCAAGGAGACGGGGCAGCACAGCCCGCTTACTCTTGCACACATCTCCCTATTCTGCACCTTTTTTCCTCTTTCAAGACAGCCCCCGAGGCTTCTTTGAAACGAGCACGGAGATAAACATTCGGGGTGGGGAGTGTGAACGCAGGGGGAAGGTCCGCAGTCTGATTTTTCTAGAAGAGATCCACTTTCCCCCTTCCTTGCCTCCTTCTACCCCTTCTCTAACTCTTCACTTCTTTCTCTATCCGGGGAGTTTTATTTGCCAATGTGTGTTAACCACCTGCTCTGTGCGGAGCCCTTGTCTAGGCAGGGACAGGTGGGGAGCGAAGGCTGCGGAGAGCAGGGTCACGCGCACTGTAGAGCGCCCCTCCCTCAGAGGCGCTCCCATCCTAAAGGCGGGGAGCTGATCCTCACGCGTGGGCACTCAGTGCAGCCAGTGGTACAAGACTGAAATACTGAGGTTCTGGCTAGCCGGTAGCCCTGCCCCAGCGCCCTCCGCACTGCAGCGCGGGGCCTGCCGAGCGCCTGCTCCGTCTTATCCGCCTGGTGAATGGCCCCTGTCTTCCTGGGGACTGCGCCTCCTGCACCTCCAATATGGCAACTGGGCCCTTGCCCCCATGGTCACAGTCGGTGGGTCCAGGAATGGGCATCTGGGAGTTTGTATTTAGGACAGAAAATCAGGGCAGCCTCTCTCAGGCAGCTGAAGCTGCGAAGAGATGAAACTTTAGTGTGAAGAAAACTAGTCTTGAGGAAGAGAGAAAAAGAAAGCGGACACGCAGGGTGCAATGGACAGTTTGTGTCCCCCCAAAATCCTATGTGGAAATCTAACCTGTAGATACTAGTGTGGGGACGTGGGCCTTTGGGAGGTGATGGGGTCCTGAGGGCGGAGCCCTCATGAATGGGATCAGTGCCCTTATAAAGGAGACTTCAGAGAGCTCCCTGGCCCCTTCCACCACGTGAGGACACAGGGAGAAGATGCCGTCTATGAACCAGGAAGGGGCCTCACCAGACACGGAATCTGCCAGAATCTAGGTAGTCGGCCTCCCAGCCGCTAGAACTGTGAGAAGTAAATTTCTGTAGTTTATAAGGTGTTTTTGTTATAGCAGCCCAAACGGACTGAGACACAGGGAGAACCAGAGATGGGAAGAGTCCTGAGGGGTTCCAGTCGCTGGTTCTGGCAGTTCCCGAGACTGCAGCCACACTCTCAGAGCCCTTTCTGCCACTGGACAGGTCCCCACCTCCCTGATGTCTGTGAGCAGCCCCAGTGTTCTCAAAACATGTTCTCTTTGGTTTATGCTGGTTCAAGTTGCGTATCTGTCACTTGCAATCAATGTAACGGTGAAGAGAAACGACTACTGAAAACACTGGGTCCAGCCAGCACCCTTGCTTTCCCCAGCTGACACAGCAGGCAGCGCTCTCTTGACAACTCAGAGCTCAGGGCGGCTGAGGGCACGCAGCCCGGGGCTTCACACCACTGTGGACTTGCGAAGGCTTGAAGGGAATCCATGAAGACTCGGGTTTCATTTTGCACTTGTTTGTTTCTTTCTCATTATTCTATTTATTCACAGAATTACGGAGAACCTGAGCCAGTGTCCTGCTTGCAGCCTGGAGGGTGTATGATGGCAAAGAGTGAAAGAGGAGAGCAGGAATTCGGGACTCGGCAGTTTACGTAAAATTCAATGATTGGACTTTGGTGGGAATTCACACTCTGAATTGAAAGCAGCTTCTCTGGCCTCTTGACCTCGCCATGCCTGAGGCAGCTGTAGGAAGGGGTGGAGGGCAAGTAAAGGAAGAGCAGAGAGGAACCAGAGGCAGGAGTGCGCTTTTCCTTCAGAACTTGGCTTCTCTCTCTGCAAGATTCACAGGCTGAAGCTGTTTCTCTCCCTCCGGAGGGCATCATGCTGACTCCTCCCTCCGTCCATCCTCGTCCTCCATCCCATGCGGTCCACCCCCACCGCTCCCCTGTCCCCCCGACCCTCCTGCACTTCCCGAGTTCAGTTGTAAAACTCCATTCTCCCCTGGGTGTCCCCATGCTCACCCCTGACCCCAACTGAGTTCTCCATGAAGCAGCCAGAGTATCCTGTCCAGGTGACAAATCTGACAATGTCCCTCACCTGCTTAAAACCCTCAGTGGCTCCCTTTCCCTCTTAGGATAAAGTACAAAACCTCTACACCATCCAGCAGCTGCCTCTCACTGTTGCCTTGCCATCCCCTCAATCTGCCCCAGCCACTCTGACTTGGTTCCATTCCTGGAAGGGCTGTGCTGCCTCCTGGCTCAGGGCCTTTGCACCAACTGTTCTCTCTGCCTGGATGCCCTTCCCCTCTCTTTCACCCAATTAGTTCCCACTCTTTCTTAGGATCTAGCTCATCTGTCCTTCTTTACAAATTCTTACAAATAACCTTCATTGCCCTTATCACAGTTCAACTTACGCCTGTGGGAGCGTTTGATTGACAGTTGTCCTCCCAACTAGACCACAAGCTCCGTGAGGGCAGGGAGGGACCATGTCTGTTTCCCTCACCACTGAAACCCCATCACCAGCCACAGGCCCTGGCTGAGTCTCACCTCCTCCTCCAGATCCCGTTCAAACATCTCTGAGAGGCCCTCTCGGGCTCCCCGCTTTGTCAGTCCATGAACCAGAGTGGACCACTACCACGCATTTATGGTGCCTCGCTGCAACAATTTGCTCATGTGTCTCTCTCAGCCACAGTGTGTGGACTCCGGGAGGGCTGGAACCACTGCTTTTGTTGTGTTTGTATCCCCGACACCCAGCACAGTGCTTGGCCTGCAGGGGCCGCTGTGTGAATAAATGCATCATGGTAAAGACAGCTCCCTGGGCCGGGGTGTGATCCTCCGTGAACTGAGCGGCTGGACCACAGGATTCTGTGTGTCCTTTCTCTCACACTCTGGCTCCCACATCACATAACCCTGCCCGTCAGCGCCTCTCTGCTTTGTCACCCATGTGCTTTAACAGTTGCCCTGGCAATCAGCAAACCTCCTGCCACCACAGGTCCTGTGTTTCGCTCTGCAAAGAAAGCCTCACACCTCAGGCTTTCTATACATTATGCAAAAATAAGCCGTTTTAATAGCTCCTTCCTCTGACTCATGTTTTTTAGTTAGGTCTTTCTCATGTTTATGGAGCATCTTTCTTTGCTACTTATTACGAAGCATTTAAAATACATAAAAAGGTATGAAGAATAACATGGGGGACACCCATGAACACACCCTAGTGCGGAGAGCTGAGGACGTGGACCCGTGGACGTGGGCCTTTTCTTTAGAGAAGAACGAATGCCGTCCGAGGCCTCTCTGGATACAGCCGTGTATTTCCAGGGAACTGAGACAGCGATTTCCAGCACTGCCTCGGGGACAGAGCCAGCATCTCCGTGTCCAGGCGGGGGCTCTCCTCCTGTGCTCCCTTCTAAGGAGAGCGAGGCTCCTTCTCCCCAAGGCCTCGGCACAGCCTGACCACAGTCCCTTCCAGGACAGACCCCGAGACCCTCTCAACTGAGGGGACCCCAGAGGGGAAGGCATCCAGAATCCCGCTCAGCACAGGAATGCCCTCCCCGCCATCTTGCCCTGTGGGCTCCGGGAGACGTGGCCTTGGTCTCCAAACCCCGTGGGGGAGGCACCTCAGAAAAGAACAAGGCAAACAAAGAAACAAGGAGATACGAGCATTCAGAACAAGCACGACATGTTTTCCCTCAGGTTGAGGCCTTCTGGAGGTGGGACTCATCCAGGAGTTGCATCCCAGAGCTCAGGGCAATCATGCCTTCGTGTCCCTTCTGTGGGCCACATGTCGAGCCAGAGGCTGGGGTTTGAATGTGAGTAGGACACGGTTCACAGGCTGGAGGAACTCACGGTAAGTGGATGACTTAAAAGGTTAAGAAACACTCATGATGCAGTGTGCCAGGAGCCAATGTGAAGGGGTACGGGCAAGGTGTCAATAAAGCCTCTGAATCACACTTAGGGCATCGGGGAAGGCTTCCTGGAGGAGGCAATGCTTGTCCCGCATTGTGAAGGATGACAAGTGCAGGGCATGATGTGTTCACAATGCTTGTGGGGAGCTGAAGGTGGTTCCAGCTGCCTGGCGTGAAGGTGGGAGTGGGCAGTGGTGGGAGAGGTGGCCAGAGAGACATCAGAAAGGCCTTGTGTGCTCCTCTGAGGAGTGTGAACTTCTGCAAGCTAGGGGCGGCCACTGGAGGAGTGGAGGCAGGGCAGAGGCCTGAAGGGAATTGGGAAGCCCTGGAAAGTGGTGTGGTCGTGAACTGGAGGAGGAAGAACAAGGTGCAGGGGGTCACAGGACCAAGGGGAGATGCCATGAGAGTCTGCACAAGGTGATGTCGAAGGAAAAGGAGAGGAGGGAAGATGGTGAGGAGATCAACACCCAGGGGACACTGAGAAGGAGGGAAGGGAGGTTCTGGGGATTCTCGGCGTTTGGGTTTGGCTGACCCGGAGCTGGCAGTGCCATTCCCTGACAGAGAGGATCCCAGAGGAGAAGACCTTGGCATGGTCTCTCTGAATGATGGCACAGAGGTGAGGCCTCTGTAGAAGGGATGAGACCTCCACAGAATCTCCAAGAGAGAAAGTCACTAGAAGCAGAAAGAAGGTCAGAGAAAGACAAGCAAGACCAGGATGTGGGTAATATGGCCTCTGACCACACACCTGGTTCCCCGAGGCGATACCCTGGCACAGCTTTGGAGGACACAGCATCCCTGAGGTCCCAGCGCTGGAGACTTGGGTGCCTGTTTCAGCACCAACATCATAAACTCCACGATGGAACTGACCACACCCCTAGGCGTCACCTTGGGCCTCAGTGACGCAAGTCCACTTCAATTCCTTTTGTTTCTATTTTAAAATTTTAGAGGGTTTTGTTGGAAACCAAAATTATACATAACTTAAGGAACAAAATAGTCATATATCAAAAACATCAGTTCTTTCGTCTTTCACACTCCCGTGAGGCAATTGCTTTCAGTTCTTATTGGATGATTCTCTCGGTATTTACCTCCATAGCTCTACACAAGATGGGTATATGGAACCTTCCTGATTTTGTCCCTGTCAGGAACCAGCTCTTGACTTTCCAATGTGGCAGACAAAGATTTAGCTCTGTTAACCCCACCCTCATCTCCACCACACACATGTGCCCACTTCCCACTCCCCCATTCTCCCAAAATACTCCTATCATATTTGGTTATATCACTTTCAGCGTTCACATTATTATGACTTTGTTCATGCTACTCACAACTGAGTCACTCAAGGTCACCATGATTTTTCCCCTCTCCTTCATGCCTTTTACCTTCAAGAGGAGTCAATAATCATGTCCCCCCACCCCCATTTATTTAGTTATACTTTGTGGTACTTATCACTGGTCCAACCCCTAATTCTCCCCCATTTATGTAGACTCCCTCGCTGTACTTTCAAACACAATTCTATCAGCGTCATCTTCTTGATCACATCTTCCCTGGAGCCTTTTGAGCAGCTTTAATCTGAACAGACTGCTTTCTATGCCCAGCCCATGGCTGTCCTCCTGGGATCTTCCTTCCCATGATCTTGGTGACTCTCATCACCTGCCTCTCATTTCCTCCCTTGTTTTGGTGGAGCCCATCCTTTAGCAGCTTTCTGGGAGAGATGCTAAGGCAGTACCTTTTTTTGAAACTTTGCGTGTCATGTGTGAAAATATTTGATTCTCTTCTCATCCTTTTTTCTTTAGTAGTTTGCGTATAGAATTCTAGGCAGGAAATGGTTTTCCTTCAGAAAGCATTTTTCCTCTGACTTCCACTTTCCAGGTTTGATGATAACTCTGGGGATATTCTGTTCCTGTTCTTTGGAAAGTATTTTATGAAACCAGTTTTTATCTTTGAAAACCTGTTGGATCTCCTCTTTGTCTCAGTTTTCTGAAATTTCATGGCAATGTGTAATTCAACTCAATTCTCCCAAAAGGTGTTGAGAGCTTGCGCTGTATAGCTTCTCTCTCTAAATGCTCCACTGAATACAGAGATACACACAAGTCCTCAGGAGCTGGAAATACATGGGGAGTGTGGGGATAAGGCAAACAGGATATTGGTGAGTATACAGAAATACACATATAAATACACATATAAGATTTGACAGGGCAACATTTTTACAAATTCCAAGTTTTGGTATTTCTTAAGAGGGACAAATCCAGGGTCTCAACCTGATGCATTGCATTAGCAAGTTGGCCTTCCCAGCACTCAGCCAACTTCCAGCCTCCCACACCTCCAGCCTCTGCTGACTGGCTGGGAAGCTGTCAATACCCCTGTGATGTGTTGCCTTCCAAGTTGTCCTCTCCCTGCTGGAGCTGTTGTTGGCCTCTAGGGGGCGAACGTTGCCACCATCCTGCAGAGCGCTAGGACAGGCTGAATTCACTGCCAGAGGCTCCCTCAAGCTCCTTGTCCAGTCAGTTGCCACAGAACCAAGAACCAGGGCCCCTTTCAAGAAGCAATCCCTAAAACGTATTTCTCCTTCCCCTTCAAGGTGTATCTATAGATACCTATAGATAGAACATACAGCTAAATAGATATAATACAGAATAAGCTGCTCAGTAAAGGTTTCTCAAATGATGAATGCAGAACACTTCTCTCCATGTGCTGTCTGCCCAATATCTATATAGCTGTCCTCCCCGTGGTGGGAATCAGCCAAGAGACGGCACAACCCTCTTGGCTGCCAGAGTATTCTTATTGAAAACAATTGACACATTATCCTGTTTAATTCTCAAAACAATCCTATCAGGCAGGTATTTTTAATGCTCATTTTGCAGTTCAAAAACTGAAGGAGAGAGAGGTAAAGTAACTTGCCCAGGATCCAAAAGCTAATAATGGCAGAACAGAGCTTCAGACCTTATTTTATTTCAACAAGACTCTTTTTCTTTTTTTAAAGATTGGCATCTGAGCTAACATCTGTTCTAATCTTCTCTTTTAATTTTTTAACTTCTTCTCCCCAAAGCCCACCAGTACATGCTTGTATATTCTAGTTGTGGGTGCCTCTGCTTGTGGCATGTGGGACCCCACCTCAGCATGGCTTGATGAGTGATGCCACGTGTGCCCCTAGGATCTGAACCGGTGAAACCCTGGGACACAGAAAGGGGTGCACGAACTTAAGCACTTGGCCACGGGGCCGGCCCCAGGCTTCAGATCTTGAGTGGAGTGAATCCAGAGCTCATAATAGATCCCACGGGCTCCAACATAAAAGGCGACCCCGAATACTGCTGAATCCCAGGTTAGACCCCTTGGAATTTGTCACCAAATGGAAGCATTGCCCAGAGGAGCATGTGGGAGAGGCAGCAAGGGACTGAACTGAGTAACCTGTCTTGCTGTTGCTTGTTCTGATGCTAATTAGCTGTGTGACTCTGATAACACAGTGTGACTCTGTGGGCCTCAGTTTCCATTTCGGTAAAGTGAAGTGAAGAATATATTCTGCAGGCTTTTGGGAGAGGACCCTGATGACCTAGGGAAGAGAAACAGTGAGAGGTCTCAGAAGGTTCCAGGAGAACCTAGGTTCTGTGCTCCCTGGAGAAGGCTGGGAAACACCGTTGGAATTTCAGGAAGACGGGATGTTGACCTAGCGTGGAAATTCTTAGGTGGGTCTGAGTCCCCTCTTCAAACATCCCATTATGATCCAAGACCTCAAATTTCCACTGAAAAGTGGGTGCCTCCAAGCAGCGTTCCCTCTCCTGGGAACCAGTGGTTCTAACTCCACCAGAGGTGTCCACAGGTGGCTGCATGTTGAGGTCCCCTGGGGACCTTTAAACATGCAGATGCTAGGGTGCACTCTCAGAGACCTTGATTTTGGCTATGGCTGATGTCGGTGTCCCAATCCAATGTACACATCAGGATAGATGCGGAGAGGGCTGATGGCCACTCTGAGTTTATTATAACCAGCGTTTCAATATATACATAGCTTACAGCTGTTAGACATACACAGGTGTTCTGGATGAAGTAATTAGTGAATGCCAAGAATTCTTAGTGATTTCTCAAGGAGCCCTCCCTTGGCCTCTGTTTTGATATTATCATGTTATTGCTGTGCTCCTATATTTTTATCTCAGAGCAGGCAAGGTCTCTTAGGCAATGGTCCCTCCT